TGCTCTAAAGAAATCAATAGTTTTTATTCATCTTCATTAGAGGTACCCATTTGTAGGGGCAACACATAATGAAACGGTTAGTACGTTGAGAATTAGAAAATCTAATTTTATACCTCCAAGAATAATAAAATTGCAATAACAAAATAGACACAAGAACATGCAAACTTTTTAAAAGTTCGTCTCAATATGAAATTATATTCTCATACAACCGCAATAATTTTACTCCACAACTTGGTACAAGAATGTAACAAATGGTTTATAGTGAACGCTAGAACCAAATTATAATGCATAATCGTAATTAATTGGATTACAGACAATAATGTAAAATTACAGCGCAAAGAAAAACCCCAGGTTTTCCCTCTATTCTAAGTATCCTTATTCATTCATATAGTATATAAACATATATATCGTACATGATATATAGGGCGCTACAGGAAAATCCGCTCCATCGATGAATTTACTGAACCCTGCAACACAAGACTCGAAGTATAATTACAGCTTTTCAAAGCTAAATGTGAAACGAACTTGTGAAGAAACGTAGAAAAAAGATATATGTATTTACTTTGAGCAGTCAGTGGAAGGGAAGATATTATATCAGATATGCCGAAACATTTTCCAGAAAGACCGGCGGCTCGGGCACTGCAGCGGGCCGGGAACACATTGCGCATTGCTACTACCCTGCTTTCTCCCTATACGAAGCCATTTACTACATCGGCTCTAAGCCTCAGAGAGTGGCGCCATGAGGACCGCCGCGATTAGGACCAAGCATGTTGCCTTAACAATTGAAGACGCAATTGCAGATGAAAACTTATCTGGTTTATAACACCAGGCAAATCAAGTGTATTAATTTCTTTCCAGCACTTGGGAACAATTTGATTTGTGTGGATAAAACCTTGCCATTGTTGTGTTTATATAGAGGATATCCCCAAGTGTTGGGGGAGGCCTCTGACACAATTTCTGATTGGTTCAGGGCGTGGGTGTTATAGTTGGGTTCAATTTAATGCTGGCCATTTCAAGAATTCGTACCAATTTTCAAACAAAATGTAAAAGTGGCCACAATTTCACTCCAATCGTGCTAATAGTTAACACAATTCTTAATATAATGTCACATGACATCTCATCATTGGATTGTTTTAAGCTCAGTCAACATCCCCAACAAATCATCTGTTGCCAATTGGGATTATATCACTACATCTGTTACATTTTTCTGTCAAAGTTGCAAAATCCATTTCATTTTCCACCAGCTATAACGGTAGAATGTTTTCAAGACAAGTGTGCACACATAGTATGAATGCACCGCTGCATGATTAAGCCCTATTTGGGGATCCATTACAATGAGTTTATGGAGAACTACTAGGGTAGGACGGTCATATTGGTGCAACTGTCCTATGAGAAGCTGCCATCTCATCGACGGCATTGTCTCACCTAATAAGATGGGATCATCTCAAAACCCGAGGTGTAAAGAGGGATTGGGTCATTCAATGATGCGGCAGCTCCTTATAAGACAGTGATACCATAATCAGGTATTTCTCGAGTTTATGGGGATAAGTACTTTGGCATAGTTCTTTTTTTCTTTTTTTCTTTTTAAGAATGTGTGTTTAAAAAAGAAAGAAAATTTTTGAGTTTACGTGAATATTATTTTATTGAAAAATGTTATTAAAATGAGGAGAGAGAGAATGCATTAAATTTTAATCTAATTTATTAGGTGCTGCCCTATAAACATACTTTAAGGCACGGCCTAAACTCAAATATTGCCCACAACTTTCTCAAGGTGAAGATTTGTCTATGTGCCTCATGAGCTTATCTACGCAAAACTTGTGGACAGTTTGCAAGATCCCGTTAGGCTACATAAGCATAAAAAATTTGTCACTTACCCTATCTAATTATAATTATATATGTTAAGTTCAATGTACTATTCAAACGCACCCAAATAATGATGCCATTTGCCTGACCCAAGTGACTGTAACTGGGTTCAAATACTTGTCTGAATGAAGACTTTCACAAATCCAATTGGCCTTTAAAAAATGATATAATTGGTACACAATATTGAATGGGATCTATGGCCAATATGGTTCTAACCTAAGAATTTTTATTAAAATAGAAAATTGAAATATGAATTAAAACTATTCAAGTATAACATTTTGATAATAGCACAGTTCAAATTTGTGACTTAAGCCATGCTATGTCACTCAAGATATGATATGAGATGTTATATTCGTTCATGACAGAATGTAAAGATTATTAAGTCAAAATCTCTCATCGATTAAAGATTATATCACATCAATTAATTTAGTTGGGTTATATATGATATTGAGCTCGTGTGACTTTAGTCTTACCTTTCCATGGTGCTTGGATTTCAATCAACCCTATAATTAGTGAGTGCACCAATAAGAAGTGTGGCTTGACGGAGGATACTAAGGGAAAGGATTTGAACTAGTTTTATTAATAAGGTTGATATCTCAAAATTCCTTTTTAATCTGGTAAACGGATTATGCCTTCTTTTTTCTTCTTCTTCTTTTTTTTTTTTTTGAATACTAATTAGTTGGTTGTTTTCTAATTTTGTTTTATTTCACATGTGTACAACTCTTAGAAGGTCCATTTATCACATTTTTGTATACGATCAAGAGCACGGAGTATTCAATACTCACTGTCACTATTTAATCCATATGTATATTAAATAACTGATAATCACTCTTTAATTGTAACTCAAACATACACACGTAAATTAAATAGTGACGGGTGAGTTCTATTTTTATGCTTCGAAAATGTTGTATTTTCTCAATAAGAATGTATTGGCTCCATAAGTATAATGCTATGTATCATATATGGTATTCAAGCACCTGTGACTCCGCCATTGGTCTTGAGGTCTCTGACCAAGTTCTTAGTAATTTTAAATCATTTCACAATGCACCACGTAAATTTTACTAGGTCTTCATCGATATTAGCTTTAGGATGGTGGAATTTTATTTGATGAAAACAAGGGATATCTAAATTGAGATAAAATACTCATAATCGGATTAATAATGCAGAAAGAGAGTCCATTCTGCAGACAATACAAAAACTCTCTTTATTCATTCATATAGTTCATAAACGTACATATCATATATAAGCTGCTGCAGAAAACTGCATTCGCGATGAAATTACTGCACCCTGCACCACAAGTCCCATAACACGAATAAACATTTTAAGCTAAATTTGAAAGAAACATGTTTACAAATAAATAATTGTCTAGTTAGACAGAACTTGAAGTTATTTTTCTCTTAATTTTTTTTTATTTTTTTATTTTTTTGGTTGAACATCAATATTTGAATTTATTAAATAAGAAAAAGAAGTTAAAATCTTATTTATATTACTGTGAAGTTGTGTCAAGTACCATGTAATGTAACAAGTATGAATTAAAAATTTTAAGTTTTTTAAATGAAATGGTTGAACTTAAATATAAGAAGAGAGAAAAATACTTGGAGCAATCAGTGGAAGGGGCGATCTTGTAGGGGATATTGACACCACATTTTCCAGGGAGGCCACCGGCCTTGCCATAGTCGATACCCTTGTAAGATCCAGCGAGAGATTTCAGGCAGGAGCACACAGACTGACGGTCCGGAGTGGTTTTGGCTGAGTTGTAGAGAGAATTAATTCCACTGCAGCAGCCATCCGGCACTGTAGGACTGCTACCCTGCACATAGCGGAGGCATGGTCTCAGGCTACTCACAACCGTGCCGCATGTGATTCCCGCCTCAGCCAGCGGTGCCACCAGGGAAACCGCGATCAGCACCAAGCACATTGCTTTCACAATTCTAGAGGAAGCCATTGCAAAAGATAATATGAAATACAAGGAAAAATCTGTTCTTTCTAGCACTTGAACAATATTTTGAATTGTGTGTGAAATACCCTACGAATTATGGTGTTTATATAGAGAAGTACTCGAGTGTTGGGGAAGAATGTGTGACACTCTTTGATTGGATTATGGAAGGTTGTTAGTTGGGTTCAATTTAGTGCTGTAATAATTTATGTTTTGGTTTCAAGAATTCGTGCCAAATTTTCAAAAAATAAAAATAAAAATAGTTTAGTGGCATTAGAGCGTGCCCCAATTTCATTTTCTAGATTAATGTTTCATTGTTATCAAGCCAAGTGTACACGTCTTTTTATTGCACGGCTGCAGGACTAATTAATTGCTATCCTCTAAACCAACTTTATTACCCACCATCATAAACGGTATTTTGTATCATTGATGCCCTTTCTCAAGTCGACAATATAAGAATTTCTAGTGACATCCAAATTCAAGTGTTATAACGTTGTACTGCCTATTCTTTCTTTGGGTTTTGTTGTAGTACAAACATTATTTCCCCTAGTAAAGCAATCATTTCATTTTTCTAAACAAGTATCAAATATAGGTATTTTTTTCCCAATGAACTTACTCTAGTTTAAGATTACAAAGGGTTAAAAAACTGCAATAATAAAATTATTACTAAAAGTCACATTATTGAGCACGTTCTCATAATTACTAGTTAAATTGGAACTCTTCCATCATTTAAGAATCCATACAAAGTATTGTTAAGTACACTTCTTGTTTGGTCATAAAATAGTATTGACAAGAACTCGAGTTCCTTTAAATCTATGATACGCTTATGTCGAAAATACTTTCAGGAGTACATACCAAAAACTCATTATGGTAAAATTTACTAGACTTGCTAAAAAAATTGTGTCGGTTGTGAATGTAATACACAAAAGTTTAAGGTGAAAACTGATTACATGGAAAGAGGGCCGAAAACAGGCCAAGGAGACTCGTGAGAATATGACACTAGTCATCTACAAACCATGACTAAATTAGAGTCCCCAAAAAGGAGCACACTTTGTTTAGAAGAATCAACATTAAATATTGAGAAAAGATAAAGACTTGGGTAGTTTGTTGTAGGTTTAAAGTGAACATGACCTAAACTCGAACTTGGATAAAGTCTTGCTCAAGTCGAAGTTTTGTGCTTGTAGAGATTCAACAGTACTAACGAACATATATATATATACACACCAATGACATGTCACAACAATTAATTAGTGAATATGTTAATTGTAAGTCCCATACGCTCTACCTCTTCAAAAGTTTTAGGATAATGTTCCTTACAGATATAGATTCCAGGCCTAGAGGATAAATATGGAGAAAAATACCTAATAATAGGTGTTTAAAGATTGCAAATAAAAAATCAGGACAGAAGTTTTATTTTTCACAAATCAGGTATGCCAAACTCTAATTAATTCACTCACCCCTTCATTCACCCCCACCCTACCCCACACACACACACACACACACACTCTCTCTCTCTCTCTCTCTCTCTCTCTCTCTCTCTCTCTCTCTCTCCCCCCCCCCCCCCCCCCCACACACACACACACTCTCTCTCTCTCTCTCTCTCTCTCTCTCTCTCTCTCTCTCTCTCTCCCCCCCGCCGCACTGACCCCACTCTCTTTCCTCACTCCCTCAAGCAGCGCTGGAACCACCACCTCCATTAGCAGCGGCGACGAACCACCTCTTCATTCATTCACCCCATTCACTCACCCGTTCATTCACCGAATTTTTCCCCATGAATTGGTTCATACCGGCAACAAACCTCCTCCATTTGCAGCACCAGATCGTCATTTCCCTTGGGATCTAGCACATTTTCCCCATTTTCCTATTCAACAGAGGTTGGCAGCGAATATCACCAGAAGTTCGCAGCACAGACCGTTGGTTCCCCATTTTTCTGACAGTGAGTGGCAAACTACCTCCATTCCCAACAATCGTTTTTTCGATGTTCGTGGTTGAGAGTAGACAAAGTTTGTGGTTGTATGTAATTTATGGGTTGTGAATTGAGGCGACGGTGGTGGTGCCGACCGACGGATCTGGAGATTTTTTTTTTGAGGAATTTGAGGAAGTGGCAGTGTTTTCGTTGGATGTGGTGGTGGCGGTGGTGGTGGATCTAACGACTGGGGTGATTTTTTTTTTATCTGGTTGTTGTGATGGTTTCCGGTGGTGATCCTGATTTTTGTTGGTGTTGGCGTCGGTGATGGGGTAAAGGTGGTTGTAAGTGGCTGTGATGGCAATGGCGATGTGATAGTGTTGGTGGTAGTGGTCTGTGACCATATGTGACCAACCATTTAGTTATCTGTGATCATGTGACCTAAAAATTTGATAATATGTGACCACCATGATGGCAATGGCGTGCGATAGTGTTGGTGGTGGTGGTCTGTGACCACTATTTGACGTATGTGACCAACCATTTAATTATTTGTGACCATGTGACATAAAAATTTGATAATCTGTTATCAATTAATGCGATCTCGAAATAATTTTTGACTTATAAATTTTTAGATCTGTGATCAAATAAATAAATTGTGCCTATAAAACTTTTGAATTTTGACCTCGAAATAATATGTGATTAATTAATTTGATGATCTGTGATCTATAAAACTTTTGATTTGTGATCTCAAAATAATATTTGACTTATTAATTTGACGATTTGTGATCAATAAATAAAATGTGACCTATAATGATGTCTCAATGACATCATTATTTTTAATTAAATATATACTTGATTTTTGAATTTTTAAACAATCTACATCATTCTTGAATTGGGATATATCCCTGAATTATGAATTTTTCTCATAAATATGTTGGGTTTATCAATTTGTTAAGTAGACCTACACATGTAACTAATTGTGTATAAAGTTACCTTAAAGTTGAGCACAATTAAAATGATCTAATAAAGAATCAAATTGTTGAGTTTAAGGCATATAAACAAAGTGTGGGCTGAATTATATATGTAGAGATCGGATCCATTAAGGTTGTATTTTCTTGATGGACAAAAATACATATGAAAATATAAATGGAATTATAGTTCACAATTCATATACAACTTCTCATTTTTTATGCTTCCCATCAACACAAGAATAATTAAGAAAAAACATATTGAAGAGCAAGATCCAATAATACCCACAATCAAGAATCAAGAAAAATGAATTCAAAAATAAGACTATGGATTAAGAAGCAAAATGAAGAAAAAATCTAAATAATCAAATGAGGCAAAATTCAAGATTAAAAGTGAAGAAGAAAAACATAAAAAGATTGTAGTTCAATCTTCAAGAATCAAGATCTGATAATAAGGAATTATTCCGAAAGAATTAAGTTATGTTCCTCATTAATTAATTTTCTTGATGATATGACATGGAATTCTTGACAATTTATAAAGGTTATAAAGTCTAAATTTCATAAAAATTTCAACAAGTGGTATTGGAGCCAATCTATGTTAAATTATTGAGATTAAAGAAAGATTTTGACGGTTGAAATTCATATTTTGGTTTTACAAAAAATTTCGGATGTGAATTTCAAACCCTAGATATCAAAAATTTGGATTTAATGCATTTTGATGGCATCATAGCATAGCCGCGACACCCAAACGAGGTGCCACGTCGCTAAGTTATATCGACTGGTAGGCACATGCAACGCCCAGCTTTTTGGGGAGCTGCAAAGCCAATATTCTTTTTCATTTTTTTTTCTTTTTGCAACAAAAGAGAAAAATAAATTTTAAGGGGGCAATCAAAATCAAATCTTGATATTAAAGTTTCTTTTAGATTGCTAATTTTCTAAAATAAATTAATTAAAACAACATGTTACCAAAACAACGTTTCTTGTCTAAATTGATTTATTTGGAATATTAGGAAAGTTATGTGTACATCATTCATGAGAGTATTGGCTGGCTCAAAGGAAGGTTAATATTTGACCAAATTATTTTTTAAAACTGTGGTAATAAATAAGTGACAGTTGTCAAGTTTTCTATTATGTAAACATTGAGTCAGTTCAAAAATAGATTTGATGTTTGACGAAATTTGTTATCAATATTTAATTAATACACCAAAAGTGCCTCTTAAAAATTGATATTTTTTATCCAAAGACTAAATATCATTATTGTATTCGGTCTCTTGTGCAAAGGTTTACTATTATTTGAAATTATTGATTGTATGATAGGATTCCCATGTGGACATGTTATTTAGATTTAAGTTTTCTACTCGGTTAATCCATCTACTTCACAAAATCTGCTAACCAATCTATTAAATTTCTGTTCCTATGAAACCAAATTTTATGGACTAGAAAAAGAACATTCATATTATTCTTGGCTACATGGATCCAGATCTTCCGTTAAGGACTTGGATGAGTGGAATCTTTAAATTGCACGAGTCTTATGATCATGAAGTATTGAATTCTAGTAGCATTCATAGCGCTAAGATAATTATAGTGAAGAAATTTTTTGAGAAAATTGAAAAATGTTTTGCAATAGGCAATAAGGCTGAAACTAATATTATCTTTTGACAAACTTAGTTTCACTAAATTATAAGGGTAAATAAAACGTAAGCAAGTACATCATTAAAATGTCACATCTTACTTCAAAACTAAAAGCATTAAAATTTGAGCAATTTTATGACTTACTCGTGCATTTAGTTTCCAACAAGAGCTCGATGGTGTCAAAGTTTATAAACATTACGTTCATAGTTGTTAAGGAAAGAATTTAGAATGTTCAGGTTTTTATAGAACATATTAGGACAAATTCTATAATTACATATTTGTTTATTAAGGGGCTATCACCCAAGGTTTTTCATGAGCATACTAATCACATGGGTATTGCATCTTTTGATTATATGTCAGTTTAGTGAAAGTTTGTATTCGATTATTGTCTATTTAGACACATATTTTTACCTATGCATATTCAATTCATTTAGAAAAATAAAGCATTCAGTTCAGTTTCACTCTAATTAAAGTTTATGATTGATTTCATTATAGAATAAGGTAGGACCAATTGGAAATAGGCAAGCTTGGATCACATTACATATCATTTTCGTGCTATATATTTATATTTGATCTATGT